TGGCCGAGGGGATTGCAGCCGACTGAGCTAGCGGCTGGCGCATCGTTCCACACCATTAGTGTCGAAGGTAAAAACCCTGCGGGGACTGTCGCTTTAATAATAGTGCAAATCATGCACAGTCCATGCTTGACCTGCGGTTTTTGTATCACTTTCTATTTTTCAAGCATTACCGTACGGTGGTTTTTAAGGTCTATGCGTTCAATACATTCTTCTACGCCAATATTTCTACGAAAGGTTACGCATCTGTTAAAAGATGGACTCGCAAGGTGGACATATTCGCGCATGATCTGCTACTGGTTCCGGTACATTTAAGTGTGCATTGGTGCATGGCGGTAAGTCCGTTAGGCTTCCGTTATTGAAAATCTCAAAACGCATACTCTATCTGCAGGTCATTGACCTCGCTGAGAAGCGCATTGACTACTATGACTCGTTACTTGGAAAAAATCAAAAGTGCCTAGAACATTTGAAGTGAGTTCGCTTTACTTGCAAATTACCGTATAATGCTCATAAATTCCTTTCGAATTCAGGCGATACCTCGTGGAAGAAAGCAATGACAAGAAAAAACAGAATTTCAGTTTTGATGGATGGGATTTCAAGCTTCGTACGGTAAGAAGTTATAGAAAACATTCATAACTTGTCGAATTGGTTAATCGTAAAACTTCTGAAAAGGTCGTAGTTCCCAGTGAGCGAACTAACAGCAGTGGTGGACGACGTTTTTCTCTTTTTTTTCTGAAGTCAAACTCCCATTATAGCTCCTATGTCTGGCACAAAAATACTACGATCTTACTGCGGTATCGAATTTTAATGGTCCTCGTCATTGCATCGGATTTCAACGAAATCTTGACCATAGAAAATTGCGAAACAAGTTTTGATGCTCGCAAACACTACACAGAAAGGCCATAAATTTATAAAAAAGTGTTATTGGTGGTCGCGCTTTGCCTTCGTGATGTTTTGCGGTATGAACGATCAGATGAGTGGGTAAGCGAAACCTAATGATTCGGTCACGAACACTTTTTAGTATCCTAACTTTAGGTTATTGCTTAGGGGCAGTGATCACGGTGGCTGGGGACGGTGCGGTTTTGATGACTCCGGTGAAAGGGGAAGGTGTAGTCCCAACCCCACCCTCCAACGTGCTGAGCGATCTAGTACAATAATGCGTGTAATGACGTTGTCAAAACCGCAACGCCCATGGTGACCACTGCCTTCATAAACTCTTAAACTCCTGGGCGACTGACCCCCACGCACTCAAAGCCATTACCCCGCACAGCTCTAGTTATGTGGTGGCACTCGAATTGAATGCAGGGATGGGTAGTTGACCGCCAGTTGGGAAAAAAATAAAAAAAAAAATACGGGCTCTCTGTTCTGAGACGTGAGGAGGCTAAGAGGCAGCGAAATCAAAGATAAAGATAATACTCCGAAACGAAAAAGTATAATAGACGTGAAAGATGAGGTACCGCCACAATGAGCATGCCCCGAGTAGTTGGCGTGGGCACTTGGACATTGCTCCTGTTCTCTGATACCGCAGAAATTTGGCAACCGAGACGCGATGGGAGCCCGGTAAGTGTAAGAACAATTGCAGTTCGAACCAAGAGTACCGATTGCCGTCGGCACCTTCGCACCTATTCCACGCGACCAGGGAAGTCGCACATGAGGTTGAGCAAGGTTAACCATCCCGGAGAAGTGTGCGAGCGGAGGCTTGTATGAAAAGGGGTTCTTTGGCGGGTTTTTGATGAGTGTAGGCGGAAAGTTTACAAAGAATCGTATAATAGCGAAAGTTATAGGATTTGCCGCCTCTTTGTAATCTCAACTTCTCCTGGGCGGAAGTGGTGTAGTGACAAGTGGCACGCTTACCACGCGAGCGGTCCGGGATCAAATCCTGGGTCGTGAGTCGCCCGGGCCAACCAAGCCTTCCATCCCTCCGGGGTCGGTTAATTGGTACCAGACTTGTCTGGGAGGATAAAAACACTGACTTGTACATCGGCTGGCCCCCGCAAGTCATTGTATAGGCCACATCGCATTCAAACGCCACTACGAATGTACAAATGGAAGTAGAATGCGTGCCGCATCCCAAAAAGGGATTGATCAACGGCAAATGCTTTATCCTTTTCCTTTTTTATCTTACCT